ACCCTAACCTTAACCCTAACCCTAACCCTAACCCTAACCCTAACCCTAACCCTAACCCTAACCCTAACCCTAACCCTAACCCTAACCCTAACCCTAACCCTAACCCTAACCCTAACCCTAACCCTAACCCTAACCCTAACCCTGGTTAAACGTTTATGGAGTAGTTTTATACTATATACTTGATAGGTATATAAGGTGTTGAGCAATTGAATCCATTTGTCGTATCTCAGTCTCACAAAACAGAAAGAAAAAAAAAAGCAGGCAATCATAACTTGTTATCATACAAAGGCTTGAAATCAGCAGAGGGATGACAGAGGAGGAAGAATATTAAGGGCGACAAATAACAAGCGAAGGAAGTCACGCATGTCCCATTATTTTGGTCTGAGGAATGGGAGGGGGGTTAAAAAGAGCGTCACGAAGACCCGCACGATCCTCCTCCCATACCTCCTGGCTATAAACGGTGGGCCCTTCATCCCATTCGATGCCACCATCGTCGCTGTCATCGTCTTCAGAGTCATCCAGAAGCATATCGGCGGCGCCAGTTAGTGCTGCAACACGCTGTAAAGTCCACTGCATATCCAGGAGATTCCAGTCGGGCAAGGGTAAGTTCTCTGGATCACTTGTCTCGAAGACAATCTCATCCCCTGAGATGATCTTCTTTTCCGTAACAATATTCCATGCCTTATGCATGTCGCCTCGGCCAGTGAGGTTGGATGGCAGGGTTGGGACTGTAGATATATCGACGGAATCTGACTTTTGGTGGCTTGTAAGCCAGTAAAACTTGGCTAATAAACGCTTCTTATCATCGGAGATATGGATAGGTTTTAGTGCAAAGAGTGAGCTTCCATGGTATCTATGCATCTGGGGCGCGAGGCAGAGAAGATTTTCCACGACCTCTGTTCCTCTTGGAAACACAGATTCATACCACGAGTTGACATGTTCTTCCGTCCAGAAATAGGACAGGAGGTTCCAGAAATTGTGGCCGGGACCCCGTTCCGTGGTATTGCGCATGGAATAGGGATAGATGTGCGCGACGTCTATCGGATGGTAGGCTTTCGTGATAGTACAGCGGTCGC